GCACCACCACGCCTGGCCTCAAAATGTTTGTGTAGCAAGGCAATATGCGTGAACATCAGACCCCGATGTCTCGCCTTTAAGAATAAGAAAGACTAATGCTAGACCATAATTACAGATATTTTTGTGTGTTACTAGAGATTGAACCAGGGTCTTCACACTGAGCTACGTAATGTCACTCCTGTCACAGATTTATTTTTACACTTTTTAAATTCTGATTGAGCATCTTATTAGGTCACTAAATTGCATTATGTGCTAGAAATTATGATCCTCCTACCTCAGCCTCCCAGAGTGCTGAGATTAGAGGTGGGTATCACCACACCCAGCTGAACTATAGATTTTGAAGAGTGAATGGAGGCCGACCATCTCCTTTCTGTCCCTTAAGGATAGTGGTTAATAGAGAAGAAAGGGGTGAAATGTCAGTTGTTCTTCTCTGTGATCTTTATGCTAAAGAAAATGCATCAGATAAGTGAGGAAAAAGTATGCAGAGAAAGATTCTTTTGCTCTTCTCCATCCTTTCACCCTTCATATTTGAGACGAATTACCCAGAAAAGTTTGTACCAGAACCAACCTGACAACATGATATGGCTGGGAGTCTGGGCAGGCTGTGAGAGGGAGGGTTTCTTTGGGCAAATTCTTCTGATCTCTTGCTAATCTGTTGGCACCATGCTGAGTCCACACAGATTCAAGAACCCTGTCTTCCCAAAGACACACAGTGTGGAATGGGTCACAACAGAAACCTCATACACAGGGGATACCAAAAGCAAAGTAGCACACTAGGAAGAAAGCTGACTGACTGAACATTCAACCAGAATGAACATTCAGACTGAACACAATTTAAAAGGACTGAGTAAATTTTTAGATTAGTCCGAATAGAACCATGTTGGACATTAAATTAATTCTACATAGGCACATATCCCAACCAGTGATAAAAAGTGTTGGAGTGAAGAGAGAAGAAGGGAGGGAGAGAGGGAGGCAGAGAATTTTCTTTGGATGTCCGAGTGGCAGTGTGATTTAAATTAGTGATTTGACTATAACAAGTACCATACAGTACTAAATAAAACTTTAAAATAGGTTTTAAGTACATGGAGCTTCAAATATCAAACATAGGAAGTGCCAAGAGGAAACAGGAAATGGAAACTAGGTGAATTCAAATAGAGGTTTAAATGGGAAACGAGCCACACACATCCACTCAGCCAGTTTTGCAGGGTGGATTGAAGGAAGGGTGGGTTGAAGGAACGGACCCCACTGTAAGTGGGTTCTCTCTCAAATCCGCTCCTGAGAAGGCATTAGAGGTGAAGGGAACAGTTAATGGCACCACTTCATCTTATTCTCCAACAATTTATTAGGTATTTTTCAGGAATATAAAGGAAGACCTGTTCGTAATCAATTGTTAGGGGTATATTCAGCTGTACTGTAAATTATGAAATGAGATCGGGTAAGTTTTAGGTTAAAAAGCTGACTTAATAGACAAATAGAAGTGTTATGGAAAAATTCATCAAACAAATAAATTGTTGTTAAAATAAGGATATATTAAGCAGGACAAGTTAGCCAGCTTGATGGGAATCCCAGCATCTTCCAGACTGATGAGTATAATATTTCTCTGTGAATTGGTTGGAGGAGAAGAGGAAAAGGTTTCATTCTTGGAAAAGTTCTGCAGTTGGACAGAAGACTTATATGCCTGGGTTCCCTACCTTTCAGCAGGAAATGTGGATGAACTAGGAAGGAGATGCAGTCCTACAAAGCTGTGTCAGGCTCTACTGTTGCAATAGCTACTGGTACATTTTGTTCAACTGGTTGGGAATCTGCAGAAGGGAATGTGGTATGTGGATTCTCCAATCAGCATAAGATCTAAGTGGGTTGATTTGTGTTTCTCTTAGCTGATTCATAAACATTAACTCAGTGTCTTTTTGCCATATAATCTCCTTGCTTTATGTGATATATAAATACAGATATAGATACAGATACAGATATAGATATCTCATGTTTTACATATATCATAAGGTTTCCAGGAAAAATCATGTTCTAGTTTGTGTAAATACACTGAAACTATTTTGTTACACTGATAAAGAAGAGGGCAGCTTTCACTGAAGTATTCATTTATAAAGCACTATTCTAGGTACTCAGGGTACTGAGATCAAAGATCTCTTTCTTGACCTCAAGCCTTCTCTGAGCTGATTCTCCTTTTTTGGTTGTTCTTTATGAAGGAAGACCCACATCCAACTCTTCAAAGTGCAGTTAATGTCAGGCTGTAACAAGTAGCTAGACTTTGCTGCAGGCTTTGTGATAGTAAAACAGAATTACAGTGAAATAAAGGAAAACTTAAAACTGACAACAAAATGTGACTTATCCTGAATATCTGTCTTCACCTTCCACCTTTTCTTATCCTCTAACTTTTTGCTGTGTTTTAGGAACAGCATAAAATCCTACTAAATCTCTTTAATAGGACTGATCCTGGCCATGTCCTCCCCATAGTGCCAGCCTAATGTTAGCTTCCCCAAAAATATAATCTTCAAAGACATTCACATTGATCACAACTTTTGATATTAAGTAGAGCAGTTTAGTTGTGCACTGCCTTAATGCTCTTCGCTGCTGAACCACATCTTGACTTTTCCTTTCTATAAATACACATTGCATTTTTCTATTTGGGTTTTTTTTTCTTAAACTGTCAGCTATATTAAGGTTTAATACGCATATAGTAAAATTCACTCTTTGAAGTATATAGCCCTATGAGTTACAAACACAGTCATCACCACCATAATCAACATATGTATAGAACCATATACTCACCCAAGAAAGTCTCCATTGTCCTTTTGTAGTAAACTCTTTCCTGTAACCCTGTGCCAGACAAACACTGATCTGTATTCTGTGTGTAATGTTTGGCCTATTCTACAATGTCATATGAATGGAATCATTCAACATGCAGGCTTTTATGTCTGACTTCTTTCACTTGGAGTCCATGTTCAGGTTATTTGAAATGTGTTCTTTTATACTGCTGAGTAATTTTCTGTTTATGACTTATTGCAGTTGATTTATTCATTCACCTATAGAAAAATGTTTGCAGTTTTTGAGGATTATGAATGAAACCACTATAATAGTTACTTACAGCTCTTTATATGAACATAAGCTTTCATTTGTCTCAGATAATATCTAGTAATGCAACTGATGAGTTTTATGATAAACACACTTAACGTTTTATGAGAAAGATGTGGTTTTGTTTTGTTTTGTTTCCAGTATCGGGAATTGAAATCAGGACCTCACACTTGCCAGGCAGTGTACAGCACCAGAGCTACAACCCTGGCACTTAACATTTTATGAAACAGCAATTTGTTTCCCATTTTCTATTCCCTCAAACATTACATAAAAATTCTTATTTGTCTTGTATCCTCATCAGCACTTGGTGTTGCCAAATTGTGTTTGTTTTCATCAGATTCATTCTAATACATATGTACAGTGATAGTGTGATTTAAATTTCCATTTTCCTAACAATTCATGATGTTTAACACCTTTTCATGTACATATTGGCTGTGTCTCTTTCAGATAAAATACCTATTCAGCATGTTTGCACATTTTTTTCAGGTTGTTTGCTTTATGATTGAGTTTTGAAGATTATCTAGATCCATTCCTTCATGAGACACGTGCTCTGCAAATATTTTCTTGAATTCTATAGCTTGTCTTTTCATTACAATCTCAGTTTAAAAATCTGAAGACTTTGTTCCCAGTAGAAACTGATGTGCTGAGTATAAAACTTAAGTAGAAATGCAAAGAAAAAATTGGGGGCCTTCACATCAAAGAAAGCGTCCATCTATACCTGCGGCCATATATGAAAATTAACACAAAATAGACAGTGGTTCTAACTAAAAACACCTAACAGTATAAAAATTTCTACAGAAAGTCTTTGTGATCTTGGGTTGTGGTTAGGCATATTTCTTAGATGTGACACCAAAAGCATGATGCATGAAAGAAAAACTAATAATTTGGACTTCGTAAAAATTGATTCTTGTTCAAAATTAAAAATTGGTTCTTGTTGAAACTGCTACGGGTGGAGTTGTTGTCTTTCCAAATTGAGGCTTACGCCATAAGTTCAAGAGTCTTAACAGGATTAGTGCCCCTCATAAAGAGATTCCCATCTCACCAATGAGGACACAGTATGAAAGAGGTTATCTGCAAGACAGGAAGAAAGCCCTCTGGCAACCAAATCTGTTGACACATTGATTTGGGGTTCCTGACTGTTAAGTCACTAAATCTATAGTATTTTGTTATAACAGCCCAAACTAAGATGCTATTTAAGAGAATGAAAAGACAATAGAGTTTTCTGATCCACAATCATTAATAGAATAAATTTTTTAAAACAAAGTCATCCCAAGATTGTTCATTTGTTTGATCGTTTTAGTGACATTTCTTTGGTTTAGCTGTAATTTTCGTTTTGTGTTTCCTTTTTATTTGGGTTGTGGTGTGCAATATTTGCAGTGGTATGATTTCTTCTCAAGTAACTTGTCCTGGCAGTTTATTGATTAATTCTTATTTACGCTCCAAATTTATGGTTACTCTTCACTCAAAGCTATTTATACTGGATGTTTCTACATCTGCCCTTGCCCTAGTATCTCACTGATGTGACCTATAGTGAGAAGAGTTCACTGTGGTGTAACAGAGTATTACAGGGAAAAAACCTGCAACGATACAGAGGTTTATAAAAACAAGCGACTGGTGCGAAGAAGGATCTAGGAAGGAAACAGTTGAATGTTTAACGTGCACAGTAAGTGATCATAATTACAGCACAATTCCGGTCAAGCTGTCCTTCGGGAGGACCCTAGATGCTTCATTGGCTGACACCGAGGCCGGGGCGAGGGGCGAGGGGCGAGAGGCTCGCGAGCGGGCGTGGGCCGCTGCGCCCGCT